CTTGTACATGTGTTACCCACAGGACCGCGACTTTTCTTTGATCCTGTTTGTGGACAAACAGCGGCTAAAANTTCGACTGTTTTTCACTTAACACTTGTACATGTGTTACCCACAGGACCGCGACTTTTCTTTGATCCTGTTTGTGGACAAACACCGGCTTAAATAGGCGTTGGTGTTTGGGGTAAAAACCGTCGTGATCCTCTAGGTGTTGGATCGAACCTACGGTTTCCCGTATTTAAGTCAAACGAAACTTAAAACTACCTCTACGTGCAGGGGTAGATCGAACATGCTTTACAGTTTGTCTGTTTATTGCGGTTCTTAGTAACGCAGCATATTGATTCTTGCTAAGGTATAGCAACATTATGGATGTTGCTAATAGTTTAGAGATTTTATGGATGTCTCTAAGGTGTTTTGTTGCATGTGCCACAGGCTGGGGTTACAGGCTCGCATCCGCCGATGGTGCCTGCACCATGGAGCGTGTGAGAAAAAAAATTCGAACGCCGCCTGTATCCTCTCTTTTACTGTTTTGATTGATTCCCCTTATTGTTCCTCGTGCCCAATGTGTGGCCTCGACCCACGACCCATCGCCGGCTTAACCCAAATACGCTTTATCCTTACTCTAACATTGGGAAATAAGTAAATAACAAAAAAACTCATTGGACAAACACTAAGCTATGTACACGAAGTTGTATACCCGGACTTACACTGAAAACATGAAGTTAACTAACGAAAATATCTTTTGCATGGTATATGCCTAATCTCTTTCCAGACGAGTCCCCTAATTCATACAATGAATTTCCTATTGTACGTAGGACTACGCACTGGATGTGTCTTGGTGCGAGCTTGGCGTTATAATTATCAACACGTGAACTCTGCTTGAAATTGCGGCGATATACCAATTGTCCCACTGCGAAATTTACCTCTTTTGTTCTCAAGTTGTACGTTTTCTCTCCTGCCGTATGTGCTCGTTTAAGCTCTTCCGTTATTTGGTTTCTTATAATTTGTTGCTTGTACACTCCCACGTCCACGGTACAGTCTGAGTCCTTGACAGAGCCTAACTTGCGCAGGACATCGTACGCGGCGCCGTGCTGTACCATCGGGATTCCGAAAACCGCGTAGTAAGGGGTTTTGCCTGTCGCGGCATGTACTGCGCTCCTCAGGGCGAAGGCGGCATCGCTT